ATGAAATATATATCAGTGTAAGACAGTGCGATTTAGGCGTGAAATAAACTTCTAATGAACAGTTCAGTTCTACCTGGTCATATCTTTCAGTCTATAATGTTATAGTTTTATAATTTCCCTCAGCTTACGAACTGTGTCCTTTCTTCTTTATACCTTTTAAAGATATATCATGCAACAGAAATAGTTTGAGTTTCTGTATTTGAAGAAGTTGAATGGTAAATCAATCTGTTAAAGCCAAAGAAAGGCTAAGGATCACTACAAAGAAAATACATTTTTCTAAGTAATTGCTGGTAATATGAGATCCCATAATTTTTTAGAAAGTTTACGATAAGTTAATATTATGAAGAGTTCATGTTCAATTAGTTAAAATATTTCTTCAATGAACCAAGAACCAATGCTGGAGATAAAAGGGAGGGTGGGATTTCTTTATATGTTGCGGTCTAAAGGACACTTCATCCTTATGCTTGAGCTAAAGTGAAACTACTCTGAGTTTGGAGAGCAATGGGACTTTTTATTTCATTGCATGCCATAGATGTGGTCCCCCTTCTTGCTCGCATGTTATTCCACAATGAGTCAAACCTGCTAATAAACAGTCTAGAAAACAGTAATTATGGTAAGATCATGAGGAGAAAGTTACTAGACTTTACTCCTCTAAACCATGACTGTGCTACCAGTTCAACAGGAATTAATCAATAAAGTCACTTATATGCTCTAGTTATGCTTAAAAACTGTATTGAGCTATCAAACAACTAAATTTGTTTTTGTTTGTTTCTAGTGCTACTCAAACTGTTAACAGAAGTTAGAAAGTTGCTCACAATATCACTCATTTCAAATTATTTTATACATAAGTTGAAGGAGAACAAGTAGTTGAGAATCATCACACCCAAGAATTGGTAGACTTTAAACTAGAGTACATATATGTAAAATATTTAATAACCCTTGGTTTTTTCTTTTTCACCATTTGTGTAGGACAATTGATTTCCATTTTTTTAAAAATTATAAAAATAGAGTTTGGGAACTTCGCTTTCAACCTAGTTCTTGAATAGCCTCATGCATAAATCATGATTTCTTAGGCACTCCTTTTAGCCGATTCAGCATTATCGAAGAAGTTAACTTGTTTCTGTGAAAAAGGGGGATAAAGAGAGGCAGGGAAGGGTGAATTTTAAAATTTATTTCCCGATGTGTGGATTCCATCATCAACTGCCAGTGAAGCATGCTTGCACTGATAAAATTCAACTGAATTTCTATTGTCTAAATACCGTGTGCATAGGTAGGTTTGCTTAGTGTAGGTCCCTTCCATACTTTTGCCAAAAGATTAGAATATTAATTTTTTTGTATTTTTCCAGTTTAGGTGAGTAATTAACCTCACTTTCTTCTGTAGGGGTTGTGGTCGAGTTAGGCTTCCACACTTTTTCTGTTGTGGCGGGAAACCTAATCAAGGTGATACTGGTGAACAGAAAGGTAGTCCAAGCTAATCAAGCTGTTTGCGTAACACCAGATGTTGGTTGACGTTCAGAGCCACCCATAAGTAGGTCCGTTTGGTAGCCATGCTTTATTTTCTTCTTGTTTCCTAAGCAATGCCATTATTGGATCCGAGATTTTTTGCTTTAAAAGATAAATGGAGTGGTTGGTGGATAAAATTTGTGGATTTTGAAAGATGATATTCCACATCCATTTTAGAGTAAGCTGTTTTAGTGCTTTAATATTGATCTAAAGACATTTATCTTTCACCTATAAGCAAACATCGTTCTTTTGAAAGATAAGTAGGGGTGTTTGCTCATATCTAAACCTGCTAAACAATGCTAATGATTCAGTTTTACACTATCATCAATTAGATGGTAAAAGTCCAGGAATCTGAATTTACTAGACCAGTGACGGAAGCATTACAAGTATAGGCCGAAGGGCCTGTTTTATGTCGAGTCCACTCCAGCAATGACAACAACCGATGTCTTTTATTTATCTTTTAGCCTAACAAAAGTTCGTTGATCTGAAAAAACGCGCAATTAAGCCAAGCTTTCCGATTTTAATATGCTGTTCTTTGATGATTTTTTTTGTATCGCATAAAATTACTATACACTTACATTTCTACCGGAATGAGCTTTCAAGAATTTGACAGGGGTTGTGATAGAAAAAACCTTCTTGGATACTAAAAGCCTAGTCTTATTTTTATCAATATTTGTATTTGATATGCAATCTTTAAAAATGAATTGGCAACTGATAAATTTATGAAATTTGTGTATAGCTTTCCGATTTTAATATGCAGTTCTTTAATAATCTTTTATTGTATCGCATAAAATTCCTATACACTTGCATTCGTACCGGAATGAGCTTTCAAGAATTTTACAGGGGTGGTGAAAGAAAAAATCTTCTTGGAACATGTTTCTAAAACCTTTCTACATAAGAATAGATCGAGGGACCACGTTATGGAGCTGGGTAGGTATGCCATATACCATTTGTTGATTGGGGGTACCCTATAACCTGACATGTCATCTAAATTAATTTGATCAGGTCTATAAAAAAATTCCACAAAAACATGTTTTGGAGCTATTATGCATCCTTGATCTTTCGTGTTATTCGCCACCAAGGGATCATCGAACATATTTTTTTTACTGATGTTCCTCTATAGATGATGAACAACAAGTAATTTTCAATAATTTTTTTATAACTAACAAAATTGATAAGTTAAAAATATATAAAAGGTATATTTAACATTAAACTAATAATAATTCTTCAATATTTTCTAATTCAACTAAATCAATCACATATATAAACAAATTTTCTAAGCATATAATACCCTTGAATCAAATTATCTAATTTTTTATTTATTTTCTCTTAAAATCAATTTTGCACAATTTATAAGTATCATTCTCATTTGTCACAATTTTTTAGTATCATTGTCACTAACACATACATTTTTTTTTTCTACAGAATTACTATTTGATCTGCACTCAAAACACAAAAACAAAATATAGTAAATTTTAGACAAGAAATTTTTGGAAATTTAAAAAACTCATTTCTAAAGAAATATCTGAATGGAGGAAGAAGAGAATGCAAACTCGGCATAACAACAGAAAAAATGACATAATGTTTGGTGCCAATGAAGAAACAATACAAGAATGAGAAGTAACAATTGAATTGCAAAAACTAAAGTTTTTAACTTAGGTTTTGCTGGCCGAAACTCCAAAACGAAAAATTTGTGCAGTTTTGTATTTCTACTTCTGCTTCAGCATATTAAAAAATAATTAACAAAATGACCTATGGAATGTGTTGTGTCAAAAACTGTTGATACGGTATCGTTTTTCATAAGTAAAATGCAGAGGATTGGGGATTTCCAATTAAACCCTGCAGAGTGTAATAAACGAGAACAATAGCAGGAAATTAGTTAGTGAGAGGGCAGGGTTGGTGCTTGGTAGTGAGATGATGACGATGACGGGAGAGAACGAGAAAGGAGAACGATGGAGCGGAGCGATGACGAATCTGACGGAGATGTCATCGAATCTCGAATCTCTCCAGAAGCTTCTTCTCACCAAAGCCGTCTTCGTCGACGACGACACCTTCTCCAAAGCCTCCCTCACAGCTGACCAAGCACGCTCCATCAAACTGCTCCAGCAACGAGTCGAGACCTTGGAGAGAGAGGTCGACGCCGCCATCACAGCTGCCGCTCGCGCTCGCTCCGAGAAACGACAGGCCGAGACCGCTCAGAAAGCCGCCGAATCGCGCGCTCAACAGCTCACCGCCGAACTTGAAAACACCACAAGTATCATCATCTTCGTCATATTCTGTTTTTACTCTTCTCAATCATTGCATTTCATCTTTCAATTGAAGTTTGGAATGGTTCTGGTCTGTGATCGGCTAAGCTAATCGTTTCTTATTTCCTTTAACAGAGGTGTTTGAGTTGCACATGGAAGAGCTGCGTGCAAAGCAAGAAGAAATCCAGAAGCGCGACGAGGACATCAAGCTTCTCGAAGCTATAATTCGAACACTTGGAGGAAAGGAATCGCTCTCTACGTCTCAGTAAAAGCATACGCGTTAGTCTTGGTCAACCCTAACCAGTGGCAGTATCCCCTTTCATTACTTTATAAATTCAATTTTACACTTGCAAGTGAAGGATTCTCATCCTTATCACTGTAATAAATAATGTTTCTGTATGAATGAATATTGATAATTCTTTGTGCACGATTGCTCTAGTGATTCTCCTGCTCCAAATGAGGATAAAGAATGGAGGAAGTGCAAGGTAGATTGCAACTTGCAGGTGTTGAACTTTGTTTTAACTTGAAACGAATTTTCATCGGTTTCATAGCATGCAGTTGTCATAAGTTACGATACATTTGTATTACTTCTGATCTGCATGTATAGTTTCATCACAATAGGAGTGTGTGTGTTTGAGTAAACAGTTCAATTAAGTGCTTGTTGAGTAAGTGTTCTTATGTAACTACTTGTTTATGTAATCAAATAATACATATGATTAAACTGTTTTCATTTACTGTGATTTGTAATGTTATAGGTTGTGTTCGAGTTTATGAAAATAAGTTGAAATTAGATCCTGGATACATCATAAGCTGTTATGAGTGTTTCCAAATATATGTACTAATGATAGCCTTATAAGATAAATCTAAATGACACGTGAATAAGTTATTTTAAATGGGCATTAAATACTTTACTCTTGTGAAAGTTCACGTCATTTCTCATGAGTATAAATTCAAAATTTTCGCCAAATTTTTATATATATTTTTCTTTGATGTCCTTAACTAGTTGGTGTACCTTTCTCAACCTCTTTTTAGTTCGGAGAAGACTGAAAGTAATTGTCTATACTTATTGGAAAATGTAATAATGAATGGAATGAAGCATGCTTGTCTCAAAACACTTCCTTGGATTTAAGTGCAAGCGCTGTGTGCAAGGTTTAGTAATGTTCTGATGTATGTATGGATGTTTGATGTATTTGGGGCCCAATTAACAATTCGGTGAAAACTGAATGAATATAAACACACAGGTAAGATGAACACTTGCTAAAATTCCAAGGTAAACTAAAACACTCCCTATGTTACCTTTAATCACGGGTATCTGTGGCTTTGGCCTGCTGCAATTAAAAAAATCAGTGATCTCTTTGTTCTTTGAACTCTTAGTGCGGGCTATCCATTTTCTATCCTCAACTCTCAATTTCTTTGTTCACTCTCCCAGAAACTCTAGCTATTTGTCTGGTAACTTATTCTGTTCCTCCTTTTATAATCGTGGTATGAGATCCTGTGAGATTATTGGCTCTACAAGAAACTAACGGATTCTCTATTTGGAAGAAATTAGTCCAATACTACCATGACTATGGTCCCAATTAAATATTAATGTTACATATAATCTGTTTTTTTTTTAATTTGTTGAAAATCAGGAGTAAGACTAATTATGTGGCATTTGGAGATTAACACATGATTATTTAATAGTTTCTTTCAGTTAAGACAACCCTATAACAAAAACTCATAGGTTGGTACGGAATTTAATTTTAGACTGTTATTTAGTAATATATTATTATATTGATTAAAGTCGTAAATTCCTAAATAGTTGTTATCATAGTTCAACTCTTCTTCTTATTAAAGTAAATATATTATTAAATATAATTATTTCGAAAACGCATTTTTACCACATTCTTTGTACTGACATTTCATTCTTTATTAATTGAATTTTACTCGTAACATTGCAAGTTGTAATTAATTTTAGCTAATAAAGAATATGTGGAAGCAATTAATTTGCATAGAGTAATTATAAAAGATAATTTATTTATACATAGAATTTGAAACATTTTAGAATTTGTTTAATTAAAATTAACTTTAACTTGGCGCTTACAACTTTGGTAAATGATCTTCCTTACCTGGGACTAGCAGGAAGCAATAATAGTTGACAAAAAGAGAATGTTGGAATGGACATTCAAAGCACAACAGATTCCAATGAAGTTTGTTGGACCAGGAACCTTTGGAGTAGGAAATTAACTACATGAAGTTATCATTAAACATTTAATAACTCTTTATTTGTTGGTTATGTTAATTTCTTTTGTTTGATGAGAAAATTATTCTGTGACGATAGGATACAGGAGCTGAATCCAAAGTGGTGTGAGAGAAACCTCGTGTACCGAGGATGGACATCAATCTAAGCAAAAAAGTACATCACCCAACTAAATTATACCAAACTTGCTGCTTGGTCTGTTTCATGTTGTCATTCTCATTGTTTAGACGTTTCTATTCTCTTTTTCTTTTCTCATCTGTACTTCCTTTTCCTTTTTAAATGTGCTCCGCATTGAACCAAATCAAATACCATATGTCAGATAACAAGAAAAGAATTAATCTACTTTATTCATACACATACCATGCCTGTACATAGTGCAGAGTAAGAAGTTTACAGACCACTTTTTGTTTATGCAAAAAATGGCAAATATAATCTTCTATCACTTATATCAATCAAAAATATAAAAATAATACAACCATAGTACATAGTTAAATATCAGAAAGGAAAAGTAATATGATATTGAAATTCATCCGAAGCATGACAACATAAAATTGAAAGAGTTTCTTTTTTGTGATAACACAAATAGAGTTTGAGTACTACTAGATGTGATAATTTAACATGGTAATGGACATATTAGAGCTACAAGGTATGTGCCAGACGTTAATCATGATGATGCACTTGTCATCAAATCCAAGAAGTCCTTGTCTGATTTCTTTCATTCTTTGTTTCCTATCTCTATGTGAGTAAACTTCAGTCAAAAGGGAAAAAAAAAGGGGTCAGGTTGGACCTGTCAAAGCCAATCATTTCAAATTCTCATACACTCATTGCTTTGCTTGGATCCAAAACCTCGAGGCCCGTGTCGCATATTCTAAAGCTTAATGTGCTTCTGTCTGAAAAAGTTTATGGTTTTGCCTTATATTACTAGTTTAAACAGCCAGCAGACTAAAAATCTAAGAGACACCCCACTTATTTTTTCTTCCAACTTTTGATCTTGTCTTCCGTCTAACATATATAAATAACCTTGAATGCTTAGTCTCATTGATTAAATCTCATTCCAATTGTTTTCAAATCATTCTGTCTCACTTTATCCTTCACTCCTTCCTGTCTTCCCTCTCCAAATCATCATTCTGTAACATCATTTCCTCTCAGCAGTTTCTATGGAGGTATTATTCTTCTAACCTTTAATCTCTTATAGACTATTATGTGGTTTGTTTAGACATTATCTCTCATCCTTGCATACTTGGCCTTTAATATTATGCAGAAAAATCATGATTGTGTGTATTTTTAACTTTAATCTCTGTATTGTATACTATGCTATTCATTGAATTAATAAATGAAAACATGCATGGTGGTATATCAACAAAATGATTACCAAATAAACTGGAAACAAATCGTGGACATTCTTAGGGTGTTTTTTATGTTGTTTTCAATTTAGAATTGGATTTTTATTTTTATATTTTAATATTCTATACAATAAAGTTTTATTGTGGTTATTAAATATCAGTATAAGTTTGTTTTTGCTGAATTCTAATTTTGATGGAGAACAGCGTCTTAAAGAATTGCATCAATGTTTTGTTTATAAACTGAAAGGTTATTACCATGGCTTAAGCAGATAATATCCGTTTGTAAACTATATAAAAAGAATAATATCAGTTAACTGGCTAGTCTCTTAACATTGGAACCAATTCTTTTCAATAACATTCAATCACTTGTTTTGCTTTGCAGGTTGTTGAGTTAAAGGTGGAGATGGTCTGTATACACGAGAAAAGACTAAGGAAATGTCTCTCAAAATTGAAAGGTTTGTTTAATTGAAAGAGATTTTGCTAAGCAGTGTCACCATAATTCTGAGTTGGTTGTTGTGCTAACATATGGATCACTACATGCAGGGATAGAGAAAGTGGAGGTAGACACTAACTGCCAAAAAGTAGTAGTCACTGGATACACACACAAGAACAAAATTCTAAAGGCAATTAGGAGAGGGGGTCTCAAGGCTGATTTCTGGTCTGCTCAAAATGAGTTACTTAATGCTTATGTCAGTGCCAATTATACCAACTTGAGATTCAACCCCTTCAGCTTCTTCTAGTTTTTATCATCCCCAATTACACCAAATTTCATATATTCTTTTCTTTTGAGGCTTTCTTTTTGGACTTTAGTACCTTCTGTCTAGTGTGAGACGGTAGATATATACACTACTTTGTATTCATTTTGCTTCTCATTTCCATAGAAATCATGACCAATCACAATGTCCAAGGAATATAGGGTGTAGTAGAGACATATCCAACTAATTTTGAGGCTTTTTTGTGTTTTTACAATTTTCAAACTCAAGCTTTCTTTGTCTGCATGCAACTCCATTTAATTACTGAAAGATCATAAACTCAAATATAAAAGATGTATTTTTTAAAATCTCATTTCAAATTTGTTCTTATTTACTTTTTCTTGTAGTTAAGTTTAATGCAAGTTGGTTTAATCAATGTCATGAAAAGGCAAAAATGAGAACTAAAGTTTCTTCTATGAAGGTTTAAGCCAACATAAATTATGTACACCAACTCTCTCGACTATCAGAAAATATTTCTCACTTATAAAATAAAACATTTCTGACAAATTCCATTTTATATTTCTTGCTCAGATATATTTTTTGATTGAATTAATACCAAATTGTTTTGCCTAGCTTCATTAGAAACAAAACATTTTTATTCTCTACCTGAGAAAACAGTTTGGATTTCAGAATGATTCAACTAATCTAAACAAAGTTATTCAACAGTTGTGACTTTTGTTAAGATTTAATTTTTCAAATTTAATAAATATTAACTACAAGTAAACCTCCAATAGACAGATAAAGTTGCAATAATAGGACTCAATTATCTAAACATTTGAACTTTCTTGTGCTTAGGCCTTAATTTACCAAATTTATAAATTTGGTCATAATAAAATCAGAAACTTATTTGAGCATGAGAATTAATTTTCCAACACGTCTATTATGTTTAAGTGCAGTTATAACATTATTGTAACCATTTATCCTATGCTTCCAAGTTTATTCAAAAAAGGCTTAATTTTTACAAAACATTATTATTTTTCAAATAAAGTGAAAATTATTGACTAGAGAGACTTTTTTTAAAAGTCGATCATTAGACATTATATACGTTCTAATTTAAGCCAAAATTAAACATATTTTTCTTCGTTGTGTATTTGAAATTACTTCTACGAGAAGCCACACATAATATAGAGAATGAGAAACTAAATAAACACAAAAGTTTACAAACTATATTTAATTAAAATATAAATGTCAAAAATAAAACATCAAAAATTATTCCGAAAATACAACCATACAGATAAATCCTTCAATATAAATAAAACTATGCAAAGCATATAACATTAATTTTTATTAGATTGACCCCTTCTAAATACCACATCTCCAACATTCAACTCAGCCAAATAAGAATGTTATTCCACAATACTTAGAAATTTTGGTTTTCTGATATACAATTAATTGAATCAGTTTCCTTAAAACCCTAATTAAGAAAAAAAAACTCATACTTCACGCAAAGCAAATAGCCAACGGCAATTCCATCATCAAAAGTCCTCCAATTCAACTTTTGAGTACACAAAAAAATCCACATAACTCAATCATCCACCATTCTCTTTAAAGCAAAACGATAACAATTACCACAAATGATTTAGTCTTCTAAACCGGGAATAGCTCAGGCTCAACACCCTACTCAAATAAAAAACTACCCACCAGATCTTAATACGCTCAAAGACTAGCCAACTATAAATCTTTACTGTGCCTATTCAAGACTGTTTATTGGTTCTGCGTGCTTCGGCAGCCAGCATAGCACTCTTTAATAACCATTGTTAGTAATAGTTGACAGTCATTCAAGGAAATGGCCAAGAACTGAAATAAATTGAAGTGCACACCTACAACCTAGAGAAATTCATTCGTTGAAGAGAAACTTGTTGCAAACACATTGGTCGCTTCAGTTGTAAAACAATAACAACCAGACACAATGTTAACCACGATCACAATTGAATAAGTAACAAATCTTTTAATGCCATAAGAACGAATGAATAACTTAACTGAGGCTACGAAAACAAATCACCAGTTCAATAGTGAAAAACAATTCTGTCTTGCGGCTTTGGAATCAACAGAAACCAGCAGCACAGCTAGACAGCCATCATCAGTGTACCAACTGCTAATACCATTGCCAACCCGATCTCAGCAAAGAGGGCAGCAACAGTCAGCTACAGTAACTGGTTAGTGCTTCAAACTATTCACGAACACATGCATATCTTACTACTAAAGATGCATCAGCTACCACCTCACAGCTACAGTGTCATGGAGCAGTGTTCTACAACAAACGTATCTCACTACATTAAGTGACAGATGTTATAATCTCGAAAGGTCAATGTTAAAAATTATCCATTAAAATACCCTAAAAAAGAGTAACCATGAGTGTGTTACCATTGTCCACTTCCAAATATACACCAGCACATTAAAGTTCATATTTACGACCCACAGTTTAATGTTTAGTATCCGCATCTGAATCAACAAATGACAGGTCCAACTCCTATGAGGCATCGGCTACATGTCAAAATATGCTCAACTTGTTCGTCACAGCATCAAGAATCCCTTTTAGGACACTTTTTTCCAAGGCCAAACACGATTACCAGATCAAAAATCAGAATATTCTCAATGGATATGACGGATCTCAGAAGAAGAAAAAAATTACCAAAAAAAGCTTACCAATGATCAGATCATTCAGGAAAAAACCAAGTCAACTAATTGTCTGTTTAATCAGCACATTGGTAAAAAATCAGTCTTAAATCAGCATATTCTTGCAACCAGCATCAAATTCACGACCAATCATCAATGACATAGAAACAGCATCAACAGCAACAAAGCCAACATGCGCCTATCAGGCCCCCATCACTTTTCCGGATCATAACTATAAAACCCAATAAGTTTTTCAATATAAATTAACTGAACTTTAACTAGATCAGTCACTCCTTCCCATAAAGAGGAAAACGAAAATGGAGATGTGGAGAGAGAAAATTGCAAACAGCAGAATGAAAATAAAATGCAAAAATCCCTTAAACTGAGGTAGAATCATCCTATCAACTACAGGGTCTAATAGTTACCAAACACTGAAGTAGATGACATAGCAAGTCCAAATATAAAAACCAAACATCAAGGAAGTCTGACCCTACCAAACAGCACTTAGATCATAAAATCCTTCAATGACTCTGATAAGACCATTCACACAGACTAAAAGTTCCAACAATAGCAAAACAGCTACAGGTGCAATAGTCCGGCACTCTAGAATTTTTCATGCGAAGCATATCTTATTCCTGCAAGAGAACAAATATGGAAAAGCCACAATAAATAAATACCTTGTTGACCAAAAGGTTGGTAAATTCCATTACTGCATTAAGACAAGTTACTTACATCACCATTCGAATTTCGAGGGGAAGGGCTTCGTGAAGCTTCAGGGCGACCACGTGGTGATACACTGCGCGGGGAAGGAGAACGTGGAGAACGTCCATCACGGCTACGATTTGCTGGACTTTCACCCCTTGGGCTTTTCCTAGGGGAAGTACTCCTTTGGGGAGAAGTGCTCCGCTGTAAGGAAGGACTCTTTCGAGGACTAGGACTGCGTCGTGCAGGGGAGCGACTATAAGGAACATCAAGGAAAGAGTCAAACATAATTGCAATAAGGAATGGGGTAAAAACAATTGCAAGAACTATATATCAACAAATGAAGACCTGTCAACTGATCTACTCCGGCTTCTACTATGATGCTCATCATCATAGCGTGCCCTACCACGACCCTTGTAATCAAGACTGGTACTACGGCTCCTGCTTCTGTGACGATAATCTTTGTCTCTCCCACGGTGCTTGTCACGTTCATACCTATCATAGCTTCTACTGCGACTTCTCTTTCTATAGTCCCTGTCTCTGTCATCACGATACCTGCAGATGACATTAATAAATTCATTTCTCCAACCACATCAACTGGAAAAATGAACGACCAAACTACATTGGCTATAAAAACTCATTTTAATTGCCAAAGATCATTTTCAAAATGACTGGATAAATGGCATTGGTATGTTTGAAAATAATATTTTGGGGAAATAATAGATTTTTCTTCAAAAGAAAAAACTGAAAAAAAATGTTTCCCAAACCCTGTTAATCCTAACACAATTCTTTTAAAAACATTTGACAACTGGAATGTATATGAACTAAACTCCGTCCAATAAATGACAGTTGAGAGGGAGAAAGCATTCAGCGTTCACTAGATAAGAGAAGGCTAGTATATGCTGAACACAGGCGTGTTTTAACTTCCCCTTTCATCCCTGAACTCAGGTAACTGCATTAAGAATCCAGGGCAAAACAACAAAAAAAAAACTATGCGTTTACTTCTGAAAAACAACATAAGTACAAAATTAGATTGCATGATATACAGCCTGATTGCCACAAAATCATAGCTTACAGTGTACCAATGAAGATTCCAAAATATTGTTTTAGTTGTAACAGGGATATCTCATAACATAAAAACAAAAGCTAAGAAAAAATATGAAATTGAACATCAAACTCAACGCAAAAACAGGCAATCAAAGCATACTAGCACAACTTTTATGAACAAAATAAATAATTCTACAATTGTAGTTCAACACTTCTCATTACAGTAAAGCCAGCACAACATTTTAAAGAAGCAAGTAAATTTAACAACAGCAGACCTTTTCCTGGGACTACGGCTTCTTGACCGGTGCCTTGATCTCTGGGCCGTTTCAATAATCCTTCCTTTGTGACTGCAAATTGAAAAATTAACTAAGCCATGGACAAACTCACATGTCATTTCATGCAAAATCATTGAATTGGAGTAAGGCCAGTCTGATTACTGTTTTTCCAAAACTCTTTGTTATTAATAAAGTTAACTTCTGAAACTGATCATTTTCAAACCCTGTGGGCCAAAATTTATAGAGATAAGATTGAGAACACAAACTAGATGATACATTTTCTTTAATTCTTCGCAGCTCTCAATCTCAAAACCTAGCAACATCACCACTGCCACATGGAATGCTAACACCCCAAACACAACAGTGTAAGTTTGCAAATTAAGCTAAAACCATGATGAATCTCTAAATAGAGAAACAGACAATGGCAACAACTTCACAAGGGAAAAAGAGGCTCTGGGAAATAATCCCCCCAACAAATTTTCATTTTCAAAAATAACATAAACAAAAATACCAAAGCAGAAATAACATAGTGAAAACAAAGTGAAGGATGATTCAAACAAAAATTACAATTTACAACTGATATATTAAAAACAAAATAAACAAATAAATAAATAACAAAAAATAAAAGAAAAAGGAACCACTTACATCCTCTCAGCATTAGGCCCATATTTCGCAAACTGGACAGTTATTTCACGACCATCAACCATTCTTCCTGAAAGTGTTACAAGACTCCCCATTCAAAACAGAATCTAACAAAACAAAGACTAAAAGAACCAATTAAAAACAAGAAAGCATACCGTCTAGCCTATCAACGGCCTTTTGAGCCTCATCAGCATACTTGTAACGCACAAAGGCAAAACCCCTGGACTCACCAGTCCTTTACGACAAAATCAATAAACGAAGAACAAATCATTATATAGAGAAAAGATTATGAATAAACGGTGACAAAAAAAAATTGAGAATGAAATTTGAAAGTACCTTCGATCCTTGGGGATGAAGATGTCAACGACCTTCCCATACTTGTCGAATAGAGGAAATAGGTCATCGGCTGTGGTGCCTGAAGGCAACAACATTAACCGTTAGATTAAGGGTTTAGTAGAAAAATTACAGAAAAGAGAAAGAGAAAAATAGAGAGAGAGAAAATACGGAAGGTGATGTTGAGAACGAGAAGAGAGTAAGTGTCGGAAATGTCAGGAGGACCCGAGCGTCCGAAGTGAGACATGTTTGTTGGGAGAGAGAGACAGAGGCGTAGAAGAAGAAGATGAAGATAAGAAAAAAGAAGATATTAGGGATTAAGAAGAAGAAGAAGGGCTAGGGTTTGGGTTTGTCGTTGCGTTGGCCGCATAAACCAAACCTTCTTGAACATTCCTTGTGCCAAAGCCTCTATTTATCTTCACATGCAAACTCTTTCTATCATCTTTGATTTATTTTTCTTTTACCAGCATTGTGCCAAAAATAAATAAACTCTTTTACTATTCATAATATTTATTCACCTGATTTTGAAAACTTAATGTTTACCTGATTTTTTAATTTTTTTAAATTGAAAAAAATAATTTATTTGATAAATTTTATATATTATACTAAATTAATTAAATAACTGATATATGTTTTAAATATCAGTAAATATATATATCTATAATTTTTTCTTTATAGTAAAATTAATGATAATAAATTATTATTATTATTATAAAACTAAATATAAATATTGTTATAACTTTGTAAATTATTTTTATTCATTTTGAAGATATTTTTATAATTAAAAAAATTGGCAAGTTTAATAAATAGTTAAATTAAAAACACAGGTAAATGTAAAGCAACTGTGATTATGAATAAAATTGATAGAATAATTATTTTAATTTAAAGAAAATTTTATTTAAAAAGTAAAATTAAAAAAAAAGAAAATTAAAATAATTATTATAATTAAAAATTATACATTTTTATGTCTACATTTATTTTCCAAATTTATCCTTTAAATACAAGTTTTTTAAAATTAAAATAATTATATTGTCAATTTTACCATTTAAAAAAAAATTAACCATTTTTTCAATTTAACCATTTCTTAATTATAAAAAAATTATAAAATAAAAAAACATTTTAAAATTGAATCCTCTACATCGATGCTACTAAGACATGAACAGGCTCTTGAGAAATGCTGCAAACGCAATGTTGAAGAGTTACGCAAAACTGATCCTCACCACCTCGAAAACACTTATACTCAATTTCCATTCATTCCCTAAAACCCTAACCACCGCGGCCTCACCCCGAGACGAGTACTTCGCGGTGATTCACCACGTCTCCAACATCGTGCGCCGCGACTTTTACCTGGAACGCACCCTCAACAAGCTCCGTATCCACGTCACCCCGGAGCTAGTCTTTCGTGTTCTCCGCGCGTGCTCCACCGCCCCCACGCCCTCCCTCCGCTTCTTCAACTGGGCTCTATCCCACCCTTCCTACACCCCCACCTCTCTCGAGTTCGAACAAATCGTCACCACCCTCGCCCACGCCAACAATTACCAAACCATGTGGTCCCTCATCCGTCAAGTCTCCCTCCTCCACCGTCTCTCCCTCTCCCCTGCCGCCGTCGCCACCCTCATCGACGCCTACGGTCACCACCGCCACATCGACCAGGCCGTCGAGGTCTTCAACAAGGCCGCCGTCCTCAACTGTCCCCAAACCCTCCCGCTCTACAACGCCCTTCTCAAATCCCTCTGCCACAACCGCCTCTTTCACGGCGCCTACGCCCTCCTCCGCCGCATGCTCCGCAAGGGCGTCCACCCCGACAAGACAACCTACTCTGTCCTCGTCAACGCCTGGTGCTCCTCCGGCAAACTCCGCGAGGCCAAGCTCTTCCTCAGGGAAATGAGTGACAAGGGCTTCAATCCTCCCCTTCGTGGCCGCGACCTTCTCGTCGAAGGCCTGCTCAATGCCGGTTACGTTGAATCCGCCAAGGGAATGGTCAGGAAGATGATCAAGGAAGGGATCGTTCCCGACGTTGTAACTTTCAATGCCGTGGTGGAGACAGTGTGCAAGGAAGACGTTCAATTTTGCGTTGATCTTTATCACGAGGTTTGTGCTTTAGGGATGGTTCCTGATGTCAACACTTACAAGATTCTCATTCCGGCTGTTTCAAAAAGTGGCTCCATTGATGAGGCATTTAGGTTGCTCAACAATTTCGTTGAGGATGGTAACCGTCCATTTCCTAGCTTGTATGCGCCTGTTATTAAGGCTCTGTGTAGGAGAGGGCAGTTTGATGATGCTTTTTGTTTCTTTGGGGATATGAAGGCCAAGGCACATCCCCCTAACCGCCCTCTCTATACCATGTTGATTACCATGTGCGGTCGCGCTGGGAAGTTTGTGGAGGCCGCTAACTACCTCTTTGAAATGACTGAGATGGGGTTGGTCCCCATCTCGCGCTGTTTTGACATGGTCACTGATGGGTTGAAGAATTCTGGCAAACATGATTTGGCTAGTAGAGTGCAACAGCTCGAAGTTTCTATCCGTGGTGTTTGATGCATCATGTATTTGCCTCTACCATTATTTACCATTATTGCCCATGCCCTGCCTCTCTCAAGCTCAAAAGTTCTCTATACATTGGAATATAGGTCTCAAATCCTTTACTCTCTCTATTCCATCTGTGTTGGGCTGAAGTTCTTAGTTTATTTCTGTCAATTGTGTTCACAAACTTGATTGTTTTTATCTCATACATTCGATCCTTTAAGAAACTTATTGGTTGCACTGCTTGCTCTTGTGTCTTTCTGAAAAGTTGAAAACCTTTATTGTTGTTTGGCAGAATAACGTACATTACATAACACATTGTGAATGAATGACCTTTGAAAACCTGAGCAAACCACATTTGTGACGTGTAAGACGAGACAGACAGACGGAGCAAAGAGAATGTTTTCATTATAAATATATTACTATCATTTAGCACATGAGTGTCCTGGGAATATGCATTCTTTATCTCGGATGCATAACCATTTTTTTCTCTAGTTCCAATACCATCAGGTGAGTCATGTTTTTAGGAATAGTACTATGTGCATTGAAATTATTTTCACCGGCATCTTCGTGTTAGAAATGATTTAAACTTGTTGAAGAAGAAACGAACTATTGTAGAACTTGCTGTGAGTGTCATTATTTGTGCGCTGTTATCGTTTGGGCTTTGTGTTTTGAAATATTTTTAATGGTTCTGTCTATCGTGCAGGTTTCTTCCCATAAAAGAGGAATAAGAAATGGACCAAAAGCTCTGAAACCTATCCCCGTGATTGTCCTATGCAAGCAAGACTTTGTCTGTTTCGCCTTATTGTTTGCCATTATTTGGTGTGTTTGCTATTCCTTGTTCTTGCTTGCCTTGATAGTTTTACTGTTGTTAGCAAGTATAATGTAGAGTATATTTCCTTTTTGTTTGAGAAGATTCGTTGGTGGCATAATTCATTTTGTTAATTTTGTTAATTTTTATAGACCTGTTTCAAAAAATGTGTTGACAATAAGTGGGGAAACTCTTCTCTAATTTTATTAACTGCTTGAGAAACTGTCATGTTTGATGCTCTTTAAATGCCATCCAGTCAAGTCCAGTCAATTTGTAAATTAGTTTCTTATTTTGATGATGGCTCACTTAGTGTTAGTTCTCATAAATTTAAGTTAGAGGGAGTGTAAAGTGTAACACTATTGTTGTGTTTTTTAATCAATGATATTTGACCCCAATGCCACAACCCTTCTTCTCCTTCCTCTGTTTCTGAATTGTATTGTAAGGTGTGAATTGGCTCTCTGTGTGCAAGGAAAAGTGAAAGTGATGATGGTGTTAGGACTTGTGAAGATGGCTAAGAAGAAGAAAATGGATTGAGGCATGACAAAGAATGATGGACTGGCCTCATGCATATAGCCTGACAGCCGACACTCATAGAAGATCAACATCATAGCAGTCTTAGAAGCTCAACATCTTAGCATACAACATGACAAACATCATATAGGAGCTTGACTAGCAGTATGATAGCTTAGTAGTTAGCGTGGAAGCTGGACTAGCATTATAATCATTCTGACAGGAAGCATGAGAGCTCAACAGGAAGCATGAGAGCTCGGTTGGTAGTATAACTAACCCGATAGGCAGAATGAAAGCTTGGCAGGTAACATGGAAACTCTACAGCCATTATTTATATATTTAAAAATAAGGAAACTAAAGTTTGCTCTATCCATGGACCCATGTTGTAAGCCCGGGTGATTATCATCATAATGTTTGGATTTTTAACGTTGTTAAACCTATTTATGAATATTGTATATTTAAATTATTTGTTTCTTTGATTGATTCTTATATATTATATAAATTCTTTGCAATGCAATAATATTATGAACTTTTATGATAAACTTCAATGTTCAGGATTATATAACTAGTGTGGTCAACATGAATTGGAACTAGTAAGCCAACATGACCCACTTTTGACCAATTTTAAACTTGATCTAATGAGAATCTAGCTCAGCCAGGTTGAATCCACGCCAACCCACTTCATTTTATATTTTGGAGTTTAATATATATATATATATATATATATATATATATATATATATATATATATATTTTGAATTGTTTTTGGAATTTAACATCATTTTGGATTGAAATTTATTTAGATTTGAATTAGAAAAAAGTTGTTATTTTTTTTGGAATTGAAAGAAAAACTTATTATTAAGTGAATAAGTGAGTTAATCCGTTTAATTTATCAATCCATGGTGAGTCGGGTCAAATTTGAATTTTTTCGACTCACTAATAAAAGAGTCAAGTTAAGTTGAAATTATTATTATTGAAGCGCTAGAATTCGAATTCTGTATGATATTTACGTTTACGATGTGTGATAAAAAGATATTATATATAATAATAGTAGATTCTCGTTTGATTCACATTCAATTCAATGATTGATCAAAAGATAATTAAAAATATTTAGATCACCCAATTTCCAATATTTCTTTTCAACATTAATGAAATCTAATGAATTTTTTTAGATTGATTGTATTCATATGGGATAAGAGAATAAGAAAAGAAGTCAACATATTACCTATTTATTTATATAATTTATAGATAAAATACTTCGGTATAAATCCACTTAGGTATAAATCCATGTTAGTTATGACTGATTTACTTACAAATTTTATCTTAAGTAATTTGTAAATAAAAATGTTTTATTTACGAATATTGTGATTTACTTACAAACTTTTGCAACAAATAATAATGATTTTTTAGTGGTTATTTGTGTGAATTTAATACCAACTTATCTAATTAATAAAAAGAATAAATTGTGATCGATGTAAGAAGATGTTGAATAAAAATTGTGTTAATAGTAAGATTGTGATCGATGTCTCATCTTTTTTTTTTATCTCATGTTCATGACGTTGTGCTCAAATTGAAGGTATCTAATTAACATAGATTTTTTTTTTAAATCCTCATTATATTGTTCGAGACATTTGTCACGATACATTTAGTATGACTTTGTAATTGATAAATTGTATTTATTAAATCTCTCAACCATATTAATGTATTTGTCATGTACTTATGTTTTTTAGGTTGCTATTATTACATTTGTTAAAAAAAAACTAAAAAAGAAAAATAAGATTAATGTTGTGTTCATTTCTTGCATTGACTAATTATTGAAATTCATTAATAATTACTCCATTGTTATTACACGTGAGTTTCATATTTTTTTTTTCTTAAATCATTTGTGTGCTTAATCTATTTAATTTAAATTAAATGATTTAAAATATCTTTTTAATGTGTTTTCTCTCATAATTATAATTTATGAAGATATGTGTATTGATGTACTTATCAATATGTTTTTGATCATTTATACTTTTTTTTGCTAATGTTTAATTGTTTGAAAAAGATAAAAATGGTCATATTTAACTATGAACTAATTGTTCATAAAGAATTTGTAAATATTATAGATGAGGAAGAACTTTGTGTTACTATCTCCAACAACTATGTAAAATCAATATTTGTAATCTATCTCACAATAAGCAACATTAATAAAAAGAACTTTATACTTCTTAAACTTTGATTAATCATTAATACATTCCTTAAGTGATAAATTAAGAAGCGTCACCTAGAAAATATGACACATAAAGATAATAACTCGTATTTTTATTCTATCAAAATTGTTAAGATAAGTTTATGGACTCTTCTTATATCAAGAGTGTAATGAGAAGGGTTAGGCAAAAAATGAGTACAAGACCTCATTTAATTTTCATAAAGACTGAAGTTCATTTTTCACAAATTAAGATTTGTTAGATGATGAACCATACTGCCTTCAATGTCAAACATTGAAACCATTTCAACTTTGCTAGAATGAGGTTGATGCACATTTTTCTTATGTTGACTTTATTGAAAAATAGTTTATTTACATTAAAATTTCCTCTTTCAATGATATCTTATAAAAAGTTAAGGTTAAGGTATGAAATAATGTGTCAAATATCTTTTGTCTCCATAATATTTTTGCTCAATCTAGTGGAATATTATATGTCACTTATGTCTTTTCCATGCCCTTATGGAGTGTAGGAATTGATGTACAATACATGGAGTAGGTTGAAAACAATTCCTAATAAGAGGTGGTAGATAATAGGCCTACCAATCTCAATTACATGTTTTTTCTATTTTAATTTATGTAATATGAACTCATTGTAGATTTGTTATTTTTTGTTGTTGTGAGTAAAGCTTCTTATAAACTATCTTTTTGCCTATCAACTTCGTTACAAACTTCACTTTATACAATACATGTTACATCGCATTGTCATATTTATACATGTTGTCTCAAGCTTTGTAGTAGTAGTTGGTGGCAATGCGGACACTAATTGTTTGCCCAATAGCTATTTGGTTCAAAATCATCACAAGTTTAATGACATTGGACCAATTGTTTCTCCTTCTAATGACTTGTGCCAAAACATTCTCATTAACTTTAACGTAAATGGATTGACCCTAAAAGAGTCCTTTTATACCCTATTCAACAAGGGCCTATGCAAACTTTAAATCTTACTGCCTAAGGTTAGGATCACAGTATAGAGCGAGTCATGTTAAGGGCGACAACTTGAGTATAGGGTGGCCTGAGTAATTTGGCTCATTAACCTGCTTAGACCCACCTTGCAAAACCCACAACCCATGTGGGCCAATGACGGAATATGACAGGTTGGTCCACATAGCTCACATTGTGTAGATTTTCCTCAACATGTTTCCTTAACTTATGACGTGTTCACTGATATGAGTATTGTGTGAATTTGTCATTAATTAAGTTTAATTTCAAAAGGGTCTTTCATCAATTCTCATTTTTGTTTGAAAACTTTAGTTACTTCAAACTTAATTTCCTTTTTTGTTTTAGTTAAATATGTCAGATGAGTCAAAAGTTTATTGAGTTCACACTAACTTAATTAAGAAAAAAATGAGGTATTTTTCTTCATGGGCTACCAACCTACTATGCAATTTAAAATCATGTAACCCTTTGCATTAAGTTTTTACGAGGGAGACATATAGATAAAATGTGAGTGCCTTTGGTGAGAAAAATATCATGTGCAAATAAGCTAGCTTGGAGAAAAGGTTTTATTCCATGGGATTTCTTCTTTTGTTATCCACCTTGATGATGAAAAAGGTTTTTTTTTTCTTTTGATCCTTAACTTGTAGTGTACTCATTAATTATTGTTAGTGATACTGGATTAGGTCTTGTGGGTTTTCCTTCCTCTGTTAAAAGTTTTAATGTCTACTGGTTTCTCTCTTTTTTATTTGGGCATCTCATTGTTTTGCTTATTATTTATATAGGAAAGATTTGATTTGGGTTTTTCTTCCGCTTGTTATTTGTTATTTTTACTATCTTCCCAACAAATGGTATCAGGACTCTAGTTAGGAGCTTTGATTTGTGTTCTAAAGATGAGAGATAATGACGGTGTTGGAACCATGATTAAATTGAATTCTATAAATTATTCATTCTGAAAATCCTGCATGGAAGATTTCTTATTTTGCAAATGTTAAAGATAAAATCGTCTATACAACCAAATACTCTCATGTTTTGAAGTTTAATTAAATAACATTAAAACAGAGTAATAATTAGAAAATAACTTAGGGTAAGAACATAAGACTTAGAGCCCAATCCCCAAACAAACACAACCTAGAACCAGAATCCCCAAACATTGAAAAACATAGGAAAACACTTAGCTCCTAGAAAATAGAATAACATCTAGACTAAAACATCCAGATGCATAACTAAACGATGTTATGCCTAAAGCGTCCAAGAGAGATTGAGATAAAAGCTCAATGCTTATAATACCTGGAATAGGTATTTGGCTTCTTTCGAAAATAAAATAGGTCGAGACAATGTCTTTGACAAAATACATTAAAAGACTTAAAAATATGTAAGGAAGCTTAATCAAGCTAAACATCATCTGTCTAAAACGAGACAAAAGCTAAAGAAGCATTTACTTGACTAAACGGTACAATGAGTTCAACAAGTACCTTATATTTTTTTATGAAATGTACATCTACGCTTGGTATCTTCAAGGAAAAGAACTTAATTGTAAAATGCTACCTAACGGTAGGAAATCAAAATCACTTTGTTGTTCTGAGCAAGCATTAAATGACATTAAATGCTCAATGTTCAAAAACAACAAAAGTGATAAGAAAAGTCATATCTGTTGCATGCAAAGTTTACTCTAATTTTGTAGATAAGCCATTATACAACAAAAGTGATAAGACGCATAACTAAGCGATGTTATGCCTAAAGCGTCCAAGAGAGATTGAGATAAAAGCTTAATGCTTATAATACCTGGAATAGGTATTTGGNTGGTTTCTCTCTTTTTTATTTGGGCATCTCATTGTTTTGCTTATTATTTATATAGGAAAGATTTGATTTGGGTTTTTCTTCCGCTTGTTATTTGTTATTTTTACTATCTTCCCAACAAATGGTATCAGGACTCTAGTTAGGAGCTTTGATTTGTGTTCTAAAGATGAGAGATAATGACGGTGTTGGAACCATGATTAAATTGAATTCTATAAATTATTCATTCTGAAAATCCTGCATGGAAGATTTCTTATTTTGCAAATGTTAAAGATAAAATCGTCTATACAACCAAATACTCTCATGTTTTGAAGTTTAATTAAATAACATTAAAACAGAGTAATAATTAGAAAATAACTTAGGGTAAGAACATAAGACTTAGAGCCCAATCCCCAAACAAACACAACCTAGAACCAGAATCCCCAAACATTGAAAAACATAGGAAAACACTTAGCTCCTAGAAAATAGAATAACATCTAGACTAAAACATCCAGATGCATAACTAAACGATGTTATGCCTAAAGCGTCCAAGAG